AACGGCTTATAAATATTGAATGTTTTTTTTTATTTATTTTTTTTATCTAAAACTGCATTAAGTTTTGTGTGAGGAGTAGGTTTTTAGGGGTAGGGTTAGAGTAGAAAACATAGTTTGTACATTTATAAAAACAATTTCATTTAAGGAATGTCCCCATAAAACATGGAAACCCAACGTGTGTGTACCTACTTAACCATATTTTGGAGACAAATTTGTTCTTAAAAGTGAGCTAAACTTGACCAAATCTCCCCCCCAAAAAAACTCCCTTTGGGGACTTCCTCAATTTTAAAACTGGTATAAAAATGCATAAGTTCAGGGCCGTCGCTAGTGGGGTGAAATGTGGTGACGATTATAGGGGCCCACGGCTGAGGGGGGGCCCCCCGGCGATCTCAACCGACTGGCTGAGCCAGCTCAGGACAGTTGACGGGCCACTGCTGCGCAGAATATGTGAGATTTGGCAAAGTGTGATTTAACATGCGACTATTTAATCGGACTGTCAAGAGTTATGACTTTGTTGCACCTAATAAGATTAAAAATGAAAACAGTAAGCGATGTTTTTGAGATGATTACTGCATGCCGACTTCATGTGACAACAGTGTAGCTGAAATGTCACATTTAATTGTATTTTTAGTATGGAGCGTTGGACAATGTTGTTCTAAAATAAAGTGCTGTTTAGATGACCTGTGCTGTTATGCAGAGCTGGATTTTCTATTTAAACCTTAGAAATAAGGTTAATTATATATATATATATATATATATATATATATTAGTTATAATTAAAGGAATAGTTCACCCCAAAAACAAAATTTTATGAAAATGTACTGTCCTTGAGGCCACCCAAGATGTAGATGAGTTTGTTTATTCATCAGAAGAGATTTTGCATTATATTAGGCTACTTGATTTTTTTTATTTTTGTTTAATCAGCTGTTTGTACTCTCATTCTGACGGCACCCATTCACTGCAGAGGATCCATTGGTGAGCGAGTGATGTAATGCACTTTTTTTTCTTTTTTCTTTTTGGTGGACTATTCCTTTAAGACTATGCATGATAATTGCATTCCCACTTGGCCTTGTCCACAGTTGTTTCTTCTGACATGGATATTGGATTGCTTAACCAGCATGCATTGCTTAGTTGTTTTATGCAAGTAAAAATCAACTCCGTTTGTGACTCACAAACTTTAAATGGCCTATTAGCCCCAACAGCTGTGCATGGAAAATGAAATTGGCCAAAAATGAGTCTTGGAAGTGAAGATAGCGAGAAACCTGTCGCCAGACCCACAGAACAGTATGTGAATCTGCAGCTCTCTCTAGTGGATGTTTCTTATAATAATGGTTCACAGCTTTCTTTGTTCAAACAGATCAACATTTGTCCAGCATTCATGTTAGTTTACCTAAAGCCAACAGGCAGACAAACAAGCTCAATTGCCTATTGTTGCACAACAAAGATTAAATCTGATAAGAAAATGAATCCATGAAGAATCAGGGCTCAATGAAAAGAGTCTGATAACAACGAGTAATGAATTTAATTATTTGATGACGAACACTAAATAAAGATGAGACCTCATAAATGAAATAAAAATACTCGGATCAAACAAGGAGTAGCCTATTTAAAAAAATGTATCCCAAAATTATGGATATCATCCAATAAAAACAAATAATTTCTACATAGTTTAAATAAATTAATTCTTAAAATAATCAATATCAGACCTTTTTTCAAATTTTTATATATTTTTTTTATTTATTTATTTATTTTTATTAAGTGTTTCTTGTATGGATATCATCCAATAAAAAAATCATTTCTACATTGTTTAAATAAACTAATTCTTAAAATAATCAATATCAGACTTTTTATATTATTATTATTATTATTATTGTTATTATTATTATATATTTCTTATTTTATTTATTTTATTAAGTGTTTCTTGTATGGATATCATCCAATAAAAAACAAATAATTTCTACATTGTTTAAATAATTCTTAAAATAATCCATATCAGACTTTTTTTCAACTTTTTATATTATTATTATTTATTTATTTTATTATTTTTATTTTTTTTATGAAGTGTTTCTTGTATGGATATCATCCAATAAAAATAAATCATTTCTACATATTGTTTAAATAAA